CAATTTGGTCATAGAATTGTCAAAGCATATGTATTGACACAAATAGTCTAAATGTAAAAGTAAAAAACAACAATCATAAGAAAATTACATTTGTTAAACCATATGTTATAATTTACAGCATTATATTCCCCATGTTTTACCTCAGACATATAGATGCATAAATAGGGTCATCTTTGACATCACCACATCCATCCTAATTGGAAAAGGGTCCCATCATAAGTAGGGATACAGAGAGAATGGACAATTTTACCCTTCTAACCATAAGTGATGATGAATAAGAAATGACTATGCTTGTCTAAGAACTATTATAAACTCAAATTGCATCAAGTAAAAAAGAAACAATTAATTAAAATCTCCATCATTTGCACACATATACTAACAAAAGTTAATCAACATCCATTTCTCAATTAATCAGTTTTGTATATTACATCAAAACATGTAAATTGGTTTCATTTCTAAGCACCATTTAAAAGCTCAATTTTCCCTACTTTGATCCCTGTTTCACACATTCTTCAGCCCTTGTAAGAGCATCTGTCAACACATCAATTGTCCAATCCTTAACATCCTCCTGCAAAATAGCAACACACATTATATTTTCACATATAATAAGTTGATAACAATCTACTTGTATTCATTTTTCTACTGTTTATAGTGATATGATTAAGCAAACAGTTGAAGAAGTTATGAAAAACAATAAGAAATGAGTGTTAGTGATAAAGTTTGAAGATTTACCATGTGTAGAGGCTCCCCTGTTCTTATTCGTGCATTAGGTCGAGCAAGTTTAGATTCGAATGGAGTTCTTGGTCGAACTTCTCTAAATTCTTCCCATTCTTCTCGAGAAAGCATCCTAACAGTGCCTTGACCTGGTGGAGCATTCTGTATCTTCTTCTCTATCCTTTCTTGTGATGTTGAATCATCATACTGTCAATCATTATAGAAACAAATCAATTTCTGATTTTCTGATCTCTGCTTTAGCAATAGCAATCATCCATAGAAACTATTGGAGGTTTAGGTTACATACGAACACAACTGTATTTCGATCGATTATAAAAAAAATCAATAAACGCAAACAAATTGTTGAAGTTGAAAGGAACGGTGTACCATCATGAGAAGCTTGGCGAAAAGTGCGATTCCTACGACGGTGGCGAAAGCTGGCATACTGGCGGTGTCGAGCCATGCCGTCGATTCGGGAGTCTGCACAAACAACCGGTTCCGCTTAGGGTTCCGACGACGACGATCCTTCTCTAATTCAGCAATGGTTTTCTTGAAGGAATCGCTAGGGCTATGTCTGGATAACGTATGTAGCTGTCTACAAAGTTGGAAGATGGATCGCTTGGATCCTTCCATGGCATCCGGACGCAAGAAAAGGAAATTGTAATAATCTGATACTTCTTAAGAATTTTGATGATTTTATTTTGGGCAAATTTCATAGAGATTATTTAATTTGATTTTTATATATTTTTCTTAATCATCGAGTGAATTTTTGCTGGTCTAATCAAAGAGTGTTTTTTTTTTTTTTTAATTAACAGTGTGAGAGTGAGTTTTTCCTGTAATCAATTGCAAAAAAACAATCGAGAACAACATTTTTCCTTGCTAATGACGGTTTAAAAAAAACTAAACTTTTAATGGTTATATCATAAAAAATAATACAACTAATGGTTAAAATGAAAAAAAAATCTAAATTGTAATTATTTGTATAGAATTCATACATGGTTTTAAAATAAAAAAATAAAGTCTTAAAATTAAACCAGAAAAAAGAATGTGATTAAATTGAAAAAAAAAAAAAAAAGTACAATGGTTTATATAAAATTTGGTCTTTTACTTTTGACAAATGACAACCAAAATTTTTAAATTCGGATATGGTATAAGGCTGGAGGGAGTGGTACTCCTTCCCTCATGAAATCACACCCAATGAGTGGTGCCACACTTGGGTTTTTTTTTTTTTTTAATAAATAAAAATGACCAATAAGACAAAGAAAAAAAGAACCAATCACCTTGTTTGAAGGAGTACTTCCTTAGAAGGTCAAACTGCACTCTCTACCGGACTCGGGTCAAAATGTTCATCCCTATTTGTTACCTATAGAGTTAAATTTTGTATTAAGTTGTTTTGTCGCATTAAGCTTATAAAACTCATGTAAAAGGTAAGAGCATATATCTTTGTATCAAACGAATTGACCAACCTGATTAGATAAAAGCTCTCACTAGACCCAATCATAGTTAATATCGAACAACCCCTTCCCATGTAGATTTATATATAGATGAAGGTGATGCTAAGTGAACACTTAAATAGTGTTCTTTTGATACATTATTATGGTTCAAATTATCCATAGCATAGTGAAAAAACGCATCAGTAAATGTTATATTTTGTTATTGCAAGTGTATGAAAGAAACAAATGTTGAAACATATTTTACAATTTCCATCACTAAACTGTTCTAAAGTCCAAAACCATTAAGCAATGAATCAATCTCTAATAGGAACCAATACTAAACACTAAACTCGACATAATTTGTAAAAAAATCATTATGTCAATCACAAAAGAGCTAATTAACAAACATTTAACATAAAAAAAATAATAATAATAATAATAATCCCAATACAGAAAAATTACACATCCACAAAATCATCAATTCATTGAACCTAAAATAACATCATGAACTCATGAATCTTGGTCCCTACCTACCATAAGGATGATACCGACCACCACCACCGCCGCCACCACCACCACCGCCGCCATAACCTCCCCTGCTTCCATACGGTCCTCCCACTCCACCATATCCCGAACCCGCACCGGATTCATAACCACCACCGCCGCCGCCACCACCCGGACCACCGCCATAACCCCCATAACCTCCATACCCACCACCACCACCACCTCGGCCATACCCACCAAGCCCACTCCCGCCATATCCTCCACCGCCAAACGAACTAAACCGACTAGAGTACCCAAGCGGCGGCTCACCACCACCGCCGCCCCTGTAACCACCATAATCACCGCCATAGTCACCATAACGGCTGCTAAATTCGCTACCGCTAGGCCCATATCCACCATAATCTCCAAATCTACTCGAAAGCCCTCCAAGCGACCGGTAAGGAGGACCATAACCACCACCACCACCACCGCCACCGCCATAACCACCGTATGAATCACCGTACCCACCAAAACTATCGCTGCCATACCCACGTCCCCGCGGTTCACTACCATATGACATGGGTCCCGGATTTGATGCCTTCTTTGGCTCCGCCTTCTTGATCTCAACCTAAAACAATAAAACTTTTTTTTAACTTAATACAGAAATAACAACTTAATATAAAAAAATAAAAAACATTTATCCAAAATAATAATAATAAATAAATAAATAAATAACCTGTGTGCCATCCATATCAATCATATTTCCATCAACGAGAATTGTATCAACAACTTGTTCACTATCAAAAACAATAAATCCAAATCCACGAGAGCGTTTTGTTGCATGATCACGAATAATCTCATGTTCAACAACTTTTCCGTATTTTGAGAAGAATCCTTTGAATTCATCTAATTATATATAGAAAGAAATAGATAAATATTAAGAAATGAAGTGATGTAAAATTGTAAATAAAAGAAATGCTAACCTTCGGTGACTGATGTTGGAATCCCACCAACGAAAATCTTTTTTGTTTTGAAATCCTTCGACTCACCAGACCCTTTTGGAATCGTTCTCTTGATTTCAACCTGCAAAATGTTTATTTGAATATAATCAGTGGGAAATTTTATAAAATATTTGAGCTAAAAACTAAGCATAAAGAGCCTAATTCAAGAACTAAAATTTTGGCATTTTTTTCATCGAACATGGAAGTTAAGTTAAAGCAGTATATCCCTCTCCCTCTCCACATTCAGACATTTACAATGTAGCCTCAAAATCATGTATTAATCTACAGATCCCACAATGCCATTGCAAAATGAGACTGTGATTAAGAAAATTTAACCTAAAGAAACTGAATTCGCTCACTTGTTTCCCATTAATGACATGAGTCTCGGCGATAACAGTGTCAACGACAGAAGGATCCGCATATGTGATGAACCCAAAACCCCTTGGTCGACCAGTTTGTCGATCCTTCATGATAACCGAATCTGTAAGATCTCCATACTTTCCAAAGTACTTAACGAATTCATCTGTATACATAAAGATATATCCAATCAGATACGAACAATTGCATTTTCTGATAACTTATAGAAACACAACCAACAAGAAGATTGGGGGCTAACCTATAGTAGTGTCTTTCGCTAAACCCCCGATAAAAATCTTCCTGTAACAATTCGAGGGACAAAAATTTCAAGCTTTGTATCATTGTGAAATGTAAAAGATAAAACTAATTGTGCAGTTATAGAAGTGGAGAATGACGAACCCTGGACTGGCGCCGTCGCCAAAGTCAGGGCGCTTGGAACCCATTGGAAATGATTTCTTGAATCGAAGATTTTGTGGTTAAATTCCGTGACGATATGAAGGTCTAAAGTGGTGTTCTTCGCGTTGTTTTTGGGGGTTTTTACGATTGGGAAGAAGAAAGAGCTAGGGTTAGGGCTTTACCAATAAGATACGGATTTGAGGATGCATTAACAAATTTATATCGTATATCAGAGACAAAACAAAATATAGAAAATGAAAACCTATATTATTGGTCATGACTTACGTGGAAAATTGTTATTATTGTTTAAAAAAGTTTGGATTAACATTAGAGGCCTAAAGTTTTTTTTTTTTTTTTGTGAATTAGGTCTAAAAATTTTAAAACATTTTATAATGATGGATTTGCTCATTATTATTTTATTTTTTATTTTTCTTTTATTACAAGATTGTATAAAACAATTAAAAATAAAATCTCTCTCTCTCAAGAAACTTGCAGGTGAGATTATCCCTTCGTAAACACCCAACAAACACACAAGCACTTCCTATTAAGATGTTCGTCAAGCATGCATATATTCTTGTAAACCCCAATGTCTCTCTCTGCAATTTGAAATAATCTGAACTTTTTTCCTTAGCCCTTAGGTCTATGGATTTAGAGTTTTAAATTGTTTGATATCTTCAAAAAACAACAATAAAAACTGTCTGATTTCTTGTTGCGGTTTGGATCTCAAATGAAAATGGTTCAAATCTGGAGGCGGGTTTGCTAAACAAGAAAGCCTTAATTCTGTTCTTGTTACTGGAATTTGTGGTCGCCAGCTATCTCACCTCTATTGCCTCCGTAAGGCTCTCCGTCATCACCCCCGTTTAGAGCTCTAAATCTGTGTTTACTGGTTCGTTTTCGTTTTTTTGTAAACATCAACTATGGGGGAAGAATGAGCCACGGACGAAGACGATGGCAGATCTGAAACGAGGGTTTGCAAGCTCAAAACAAGAAGGACGACCGGAGAAAGAGGATTATGGATTCGGTGGTCGTTCGACGACAGATCGAGTCCTAAATCGACTCTGGCCCTTTACACTAACATGCAGATCAACTTCGAACAACACAAGGTATGTGTGATTTAATCAATGACGCACAAAAAACCTCATGTGTGTGGTTTGTTCGATCGGAAGCAGTGACACACAAACATTCAATGTGTCAATCACAAACAGAGGGGGTGAGCACGAGAGATCCTGAGAGAAATTAGTTGCATTAAGTTTGTAGAGAGAATAAGAAGATGCGGGCAATAAAGGGTTTGACCTAAAATCTGAAACTGAAGAAGATGATGGTGGCATTTATTTTTGGGATGTGTTGAGAGAGAGAGAGAGAGAGAGAGAGAGGGAGAGAGAGAGAGAGAGAGAGAGAGAGTAAGGGAGAGAGTATTTTTTATTTATGTTATAAAAAAAATTATAAAAAGAAAATTATTTTTTTTAATCAAAAAAGTATCTAATGAAATAAAAAACTAAAAAAAGAAAAAAGTATGAGCAAAATCATCATTATGAAAAGTTCAAAACAAATTTGACCAAACTTGTAATAAAAAGAAAATTTTTAACCTATGATGCTAGTTTAAACATTTTTTTTACCAAAGTGTTAATTTTCGGCATACTACATGGACCATTTGTTTAGTTTAGTCTATTATATATTGTGGATTGCATAGGTGTATTCAAACAAATTCTTTTTTTTTTTTAGAAGAAAAAATAATATTATTTTTTCTGGTATCATTTTTATCTAAATTTACGATAAATCTTATAAATCTGTTCTATTTAAATGATATAACAATTATGGTTAGATGACATCGATGATTAATCTCATCTTTTTGTATTTAGAGTTAAAATTTGTTAGAAATGTAATGTGGCTAATGATATGACCGATGACCGAGTTTAACTTTTTGATATGTTATAAGATATCAAATAAATGGCATGAATAACTTTTATGGTTTGTTTTAAATGGTCATTGGTTTTATTTTATTTTTTGTATTTTAAATCCTTAAAGTAACAAATAAAAGAAAATATGGGCAATAGTCAAAAAAATGGGTTTTTTTTTTTTAAATATAGATAGGACACAAAATTAGACATTTTCGGATATAGACATGCATTCTGCGGAGGTAGCTCCACGGAATCTACCGTAGCTCTGCGGAATGGATATTGAGTTTTTTTTCATATCGATTCTTCGGGGTTTATATTACTTCCTCAAATATTTCTTTTCAAATAAAGATTATAATAGTATGATAATTTTTTCTTAAAATTAATTAGTTGGGGAAATGAATCTAAACCCCGAATAATCGATGTGAAAAAAAAAAAAGATCCATTCCTCGAAGCTACCTCCGCGGAATGAGTTCATTCCTCGGATGTAGCTCCGCGGAATGGATCTTTAGTGTGTGTGTTTTTTTTTTAATACATTGATTTATTTACGATTTTGCCATTCCTCGGAGCTACCTCCGCGGAATGGCCGTACCGGGTAGGTCGGGCACCCCATAAATGTCTGATAAGTATGGTATGTTATATGATTGTACTGTATGTTATATGATTGTATGGTATGTGGTATGTTGGGGGGAACTCACTAAGCTTTGTGCTTATAGTTTTCAGTTTGGTTTCAGGTACCTCTTCATCAAAGGGGAAGGAGTTGGCGCGGTAGCGATACATCATACACATACACTATTTTCCGCCTTACGAGATTGTTATGGGAATTGTACTCTGATATTCACTTGATTTTGTATTTTGGTTTTTCAATCACGATATATGATTGTGGAATGATTTGATCAGATAATGTTTTATTTACAAATGTTTTTCAAAGTATTGATTTAAAAATAAAAATTTTATATGTGAAATTTGGGTTGTTACAAGTTGGTATCAGAGCCCTGGTATGAGGGATTCAGACGCACCTTCAGGGGTGTTTGGACTCAAACCTAGGGATTAAAAGATTTTTACAAAGAAAATGACTTTCTAAAAGATAAGATAAAAGAGTTTTGAGAAAGAACAAGTGTGTGATGTGCGCAACCAGCCGAGCTCAAGTAAGTATTCCCCAAAGTACCCATACAAGTTTATGTTATGTTTGACAGTTTCAGTAGAACAGCATGCTAGTATAGGACTAAGGATCTAGGAGTGATACCTTATGTGCCTGCTTTATGTGCTTCAGCTTATGAGAATTGCATGCTAGTATTAAGTAGACAATAGTAGGATAGCTTGTTTAGGTTATGCCTGGTAGTATGAGCTCAACATTATATGCTAGTTTAGCTTCTCATTATGAGGACATATTTGCTTGAGTAGTTTTCATGTGTCCGAATGTCGCTTGCTTTGTGTTTTGTTAGACTCTGAGTGATGGGAGTTAGCCATTAGGTGAATACGTCACGTCACATGTGATCAGGTTTGAATAATCTCGGAGTGTTGGATTTTGCCCTATCGTGCAGCTCTTGTCTGAGTCTAACCGTTGTAGGGACGACTCTGTTACTCGAAGGATTATATGAGCCTCTTCACATGTGATGGAATTCAGGTAATGGCTAATTGGCATTACAAGGAGGCCTTCAGCAGCTGAGGACTGGATAGGGTGGAGTCAGAGGTTTTCCCTAGGGTAAGCCTAGGATGAGGATAGCAGTGATCAGCCGTGGTAAAAGGGATCTAGTGGAGTCAAGGCAGTCCTTGAAGAAGGTACGAATAGATGTGGAAGGTAGTATGGGCCCGTACTATTGAAAGCAGAGGATCTGTACCCGAACTAAGGAAGGTCGAGATAAGACCAGGGAACTTGTAGTAGATGTGATCCCTCCAGAGGTATCAGTATCACTAGCGGTTGTTATTATGTATTGCAGAATGGTGGTACTACGTTCAAGGCCAATAGTTGGCTGCTCAGGAGAGGGATCGGGTTCGGGATCAGGTTCTGAGCCAGTAGATGAGGGGATACGCTAGTTCATAGCATCAGAGATCACCAGAGGTATCCTTGAGTCGACCCCCATCATCTTCGGGTTGATCAAGGAAGGGATAATTGAGCTGATGGAGGACCGCCTCAGGGCATTCAGGAGTGACCTGGCATCTGGCCAGTCAAGATCTCGCACAATGTCCTTTAAGGACTTCAGGGGCAGTGGTGCGCCAGATTTCCATAGGGGGAAGGACCCGATTACTGCCAGACGATGGATCGCAGACATTGAGTCTGCGCAGTTGACTAGCTTCTGCCCCGAAGGGTCGAAGGTGAGGTTCGCAGCAGGGTGTTTGAGAGACAGAGCTAGAGACTGGTGGGAGTCTGTTGGTGACTCATTGGGAGCCTCGATTGTTGAGGCTATGACATGGCCGAACTTTGTGACCCGATTCAGAACGGAGTTCGCACCTGTCTCCAGCAGTTAGCTAGAGATTTTTTAGACATGAGACAGACGACGGAGACTGTGGCGGAGATCACCGCCAAGTTCCGAGAGAGGGAATTGATGGTGCCCCAGTATGCGGGAGATGAGTACATGAAGAGGACCCGCTACCACGACATGTTGCGAGTCCACATTCGAGAACATGTTTGTTTTTCAGCTTGTCCTACCCTGGACTCTATGATTGCCAGGGCGAGGGAGAGGGAGATAGATCTGGAGCACATCCAAAATAGGAAGTCAGAGGAGGGACAGACAGGAGGGGCTTCAGGGAAGAAGCCCAAGGGATCAGATGGTAGGCCGAAAGGCCAGACAGGACCGGGTCGCTGCGGCAGGCCACATGAGGGAGCATGCAGAGTGGGATCACCGGGCTACTATAAGTGCGACAAGATAGGGCACTTCATCAGGGATTGTACCGGCCCTAAACATGTGATACACACGTCAGAGTTGTTGTGCTTCCACTGCAACCAGAGGGGCCACAAGAAGGCCAATTACCCCCAATTGACAGCAGCAGCGCCAATGAAGGCGCCAGATCCAGCAACCCTGCGGATTACCGATGGCTGGCAGGGAAAGTCAGAGGCTGCAGTGGTGAGGATTCGGGCATTTCAGCTGACTACCGAGGAGGCACGCGCCACACCCGATATGGTGACAGGATCGTTCCATGTGAAGGGTATTCCAGTACAGGTGTTGTTTGACTCGGGTGCCACCCAATCGTTTGTTTCTCTTACGCTTAGCAAGAAGTTTACTGAGTCTTCGGGCATGTTGGATTGCCCTTTAGAGGTAGAGATTATCGATGATCAGTCGGTGCAAGCATCAGCAGTGTTTAGAGATTACGTTCTGAGGCTATTTGAGGAGCGTTACTTGGTAGACTTGGTTTCT